GCCACTCGGCCGGCCCTACATTTTTTAAATAAGTAGAGCCACACATTATTTAGGGATGCAGAAGACAGGAAACTCAACCTCACATTTGCTTATGAACAAGGGAAAAAAAAAAGAAATTTTTAGTTTATGTAACTGAAAAGGAGCAGACCCTCGCTACACATGCAGTGGGACTCAAAGTGTGAGCAGCCTATCAGGGCTGGGTCTTCACTGTCTTTGGAGTCACTTCCGATTGGGATAAGGCTGAAGAAAAGATGCTACTGTTTGTGGTATTAAGTGAACCTTTTAAAGCATGTAGAATGATTTGCTTAAGACCTCATACCAGTAGGTACTAAAATAACTCCTGGTGAACAGTATTAACAAGATTATTTTACAGGCAATGAATTTCAAAACACTAGCTGTTAATTAAAATATTGATAATTTGAAGAACATGGATTTGATTTTAAATCTAGTCCTTTTGACAGGACTCTAATGCTCAATATCCTGCATGTAAATATGTACCCCAACATATTCATCATTATTCTAAAAACAGCACATAAAAAATACTAGGACTCAAACTCATCTAAAGGAGAAGTTTTAAAGTTAAAATTTTTACCAAGTAACAATTACAAGAACCCACTCTTGAAGTTTGTGTTGAATATTAGCATTTTAAGATTAGTGTTTTTGAAATAGGAAATGGAAAAAAGTTACATTTTTTAAAAAAGGTATCATAGGTGACCAATTTTTATAGAAGAATAAAGCTAAAAGGCAATGCCACTTCTTCAGCACTGAGATTAGATTATAGAAATAATCATATTTATTTAATATTTCACAATTAGGTCAAAAGATAATCACTCACTTTTTCAAATGTGGGTTGGGCATTCCAAGAAGAGGGAATTTTCTCTACTTTCTAAAATGAAAAATGATTTTTATCAAATTATGGAGAGAAAATTTCATAAAAATGTACCTTAAAATATTTTTTTAAAGATTTTTTTTTAATTGGGGAATTGAGGGGGATGGGAACAGTGCTGGGGAATTGGGGAAGGGGAACAGACAAGTTACTGTCGTTTTGTTCTTCAGTCTAGTTGTGGAGGACGTTGCTTCACTGGCCCAAGTTGGCACCATCATTGCGCTCTTCCCAGGTGAGGAAGATCATTTGCCGGCTTCTGGATGGCCGCTCACGGCGGCTGCTGGCCGCTCACGCTGGCTGCTGGCTACACACGGTAGCCCATGGCAACCCACTGCCACAAGGGCTGCAGCCCACGCTGTTGCCAATGACTCAGGGCAGCCCAGCTCCAGGTTGAGCTGTTCAGCATCTTAGCTGTGGAGGGCAGTGTCACTGGCCCTCCATATGTGGAATCTGAACCGGGGCCTTCTGGCATCCCAAGCCAGTTCTTAACCATCGCGCCACTCGGCCGGCCCTTAAAATTTTTTTAAGTGTAATTTTATCACTTTACCTTTGAAAATATGTCCCTTATAGGAATTGACTTTTAAAAGAAAGTTATAAACAAAGGAACGCACAGAATGACAATGGGTAAGACTTGGACGTATCACCAAAATCTCATGCAGACATAATAAAGTCAGTCTTCCGATTTCACTTTAAACTTGTTCATTTTGCCTTATAAATGTCATTAACCTTTTGTTAGGACATAATTTACTTGTTAATTTATTTTGAAATAAATCTAATCATATAAGGTTTATAATGAAGTGGCCTTACTCTTGGGAATCACTTAACTATAAACAAAATCGAAGGTCTACAGGGAGCACTGAGGAAGTCTTGGTGTCCAAGATCTATGAAATTTGTGCGTCACGGAGGGGCTTCCAGAGCATTTGGCACTGACTCAGAGTTCATAGTAACGTTAATACTGTGTGCCATAAACCATCCAAGGTAATATCCTGAGCAATTTTAAAATATGTGAAGAATTTGGGAGCAACAAAATCGCCAAGGTGATCTTAGAATAATGTCAAGAAGGAAGGGTTGTTACAGGATTATAATTT